GTAGAGTTTTCTTGGTCCAGTCTTGAGAACTGCAGATCATCACCATCATCATCATCATCATCATCGTCATCAAGAACTGCAGAGACAGATCAGTCTGTAAAGACATAGAGACCCTGCAGCCAAACATAAAGGCTTTGATCCCTGGCATCTGCATGAGAAAAAGAGAAAAAACTCCTGCAAACTGCTCTTTGACATCCACACTCACACCATTGTACTTGTACCTAAACACACACACACACACACACACACACACACACACACACACACACACACACACACACGAGAGACCAGGGAGACAGACAAGGGCCATGGCGGGGTTCTAACAGGCCCTGCCAGGCACCAGGCTGTAGTTTGGGTTACTGGAGATGGCAGGAGCTGAGCAGCAGTTCTCAGAAAAACCACAACTAGGGGACAACCTATCAGCAGGCAGTCCACAACCTTCTGCTAGGTGAGCAGAGGACCACCTCCTCAGGCTAGCTAAAGACAGCTTTCTCTACCCTGCCACTGGATGCTGACAACCCAGGAGAGACATGCATCAATCAGCCCCCAGAGTAATACCCCCCACCATCAGCCCCAAGCTCTTCTCCCGCCACCAATTAGCCCCCAGACCTATCTCTCTTCCCTGATATTCCCCTAACCGTGCTTAAAAGGGGGCCATAAGACTCTTGGGATCTAGACATTTGCCACACCTAACATTAGGGAAGATTTTTCATCAATAAAGGCTACTATTAATTGCATATGACATTGGTGGTCTTTTATGGGACTCCTCTTGCTACCCTAAAACACACATACACATACACAGCTGCACGTTCACACAGATACATTGAGAGAGGGAGAGGGAGAGGGAGAGGGAGAGGGAGAGGGAGAGAGAGAGAGAGAGAGAGAGAGAGAGAGAGAGAGAGAGAGAGAGAGAGAGAGAGAGAGAGAGAAAGTGAGAGAGAGAGAGTGAGAGAGAGAAAGTGAGAGAGAGAGAATTAAAAAGGCTAGATGGTCTGGATCAGTAACATCACCGTTTAAGAGGGAGAGGAGGGTTGATGTTCACCTCTGCTACACAGATTGTTCATGGCAAGCCTTGGTAACATGACGCAGCCTTAATAGACAGACAGACAGACAGATAGACAGGTAGATAGATGGATAATGACTAAATAAACACACATACTTCAGGAAGCAGACAGAAGAAGGCTATCCTCAAAGCCACTGGAGAGAAGGAGCCACAGGTCCCTGGCCAGGCTGACAAGGCACAGAAAGGAATCTCTGATGGCTTCTGTTCTGTGCACCAGCACAAGGCACAGCTTCAGGAAGGAATTGGCACTGCTTGGGGGGGGGGGGAGCTTGCAGGCTACACCCCTTGCCAGCATCTAGCGTCAGTGCAGTGCCCTCTCCTGAGCACCTGAGAACAGCAGGCAGCAGTTCACTCTGTGTCATGATTAGTGCCATGGAATGTCCCAGCTACCTTGCCTGGAAGGCCCAGCTCTGACCAAGAGCCCAACTCTCCTCAGCACCTGCAGGTCCTGCCACAAGCTGCTGATGGTCAAGGCATGTACAGGCCCAGGACCGACTTCCTACAAGGTGAAGACAGCTAGGCTCACCAGAGTGTTCCAGCTCAAAACCAGTCCTGTGGCCAGGGGCACTCACCTGGCAGGGCCCAGACAAGATGACCCTGTACTGTCCTAGGCAAGCCTGAAAAGGCTGTGAATCCCTGTTTTCAATAAAGTTTCTGCACTCATGAAACCTGTGTGGTCCTTGTCAGCAAGGGAACCTCAGGACTCCCTGACTGTTCTCCCAACTGTCCTGTCTTTGGGCCCTACAGGCTCACTGAGGAGGGGGCTGTGCAGGAAGGATGCTTTGCTGACAGAAGCACCCCAAGTCCTGAGAGCAAGGGCAGCATCCAAGCAGCGAATTCCCTACAGCACCACTCAGCCTGCAGGGTGAGCTTAGTGTGGGGACAACCAAGGCTTCTGCTTGGTGGGGGGCAGTTTTGCAAAGAGGGGCGCAGCTTCACTTAACCTGGGTGGGGTCACTGCCCCGTCACCTTTCCTAGTCCTTCTCCCGCCACCTCCTGCTCTCCATCTTCCTGTCCTCGTCCCCATCTGCCCTCACAAAGCACAGGGCGGCTGGGAACAGGGTCTATTTATTTGATGTTCCTCCATTAGTGTATGAATTCCCTGTGCAGGACTGAAGCTTTTACGCAGGGTTTCTGCATCCTAGTTGCTTTACCAACCCTGGACCTCCCCACAGCTTGCTACCTCATGCCTCAGCCTCCTCAGAGTGGCTAGGATCACAGACGAGCATGTACGACTTGTCCGGGCTACAGAGAATCACTTGCTGGAGGGCAACAGGTGCTGCTGAGGGGCTTGCAGTGAAGGGTTCTAGAGTGTTCTTCCCACTCCCAGCAGTCAGACGGTGGCTCACCACCATCTGTATTGAACCTGACTCCCTCTTCTGGTGTGCATGAGGATAGAGCAGTCCTGTACAAAATATACATGAATAAAGAAATCTTTTAAAAATTACATAAAGTCAGTTTATTTACAAAAGTTAAAGAGAAACCAGTGACTTCTCAGTCAGCATGCTCCCATGCCTGATCCGGCCTTCTTGTCTCTCTGTGGGCACTGTTAGACACTGCCAGCCCAAGGAGGGGTGACTAGAGGAGCCTTCCTAGCACAGAAACTCAGCTTCTCTTTAGCAAGTCAGGAGACAAACAGTGTGTAGAACTCCTGCAGGGTGGAAGACTAAGACCCTGTGGGAGAGCCACAGCCAGCCCCAGTGGCTCCCACTTCCCTCTGCACAGCTACTGACGGCCACTAATGCACACATTCCCATGGATAGCCTGCAGGCCGGAACCTCACTGCTGCTGCTGTCAAATTCTCGGGGATTCCCTGCCACTCCCTGGAGTGCAGGCATAAAGACATGCACCACATATTGCAAATTATCATTTAAATTTGTACTTTTTTAAGGATGGAGCCTTAGGTCAGTGTCAGGTACAACATGGTTGAAGTCCAAGGTTCAATGCCCAATTGTACAAACATATATGAAGTAAATAAAAAAAACAGAAATGCTACTTTGTGTCTTCTGCAGATATGATGATTTTTAATTAAATCTTTTCTCTTTTATTTCATTTTTATTTATTTACCTTTTTGTTTGTTTGTGTTCCGAGACAGGATTACACTGTGTAGCTTTGGAGCCAATCCCGGCACTCCCTATGTAGACCAGGCTGGCCTTGCACTCACAGAGATCTGCCTACCTCTGCCTCCCAAGTGCTGAGATTAAAGGCATGAGCCACCATGTCCAACCTTTTAAACTTATTTTATTTATTTTATACACATTGTCTGTCTGCATATATGTCTGCAGGTCAAAAGAAGGTGACATATCTCATTCCAGATGGTGAGAGCCACTGTGTGGTTGCTGGAAATTGAACTCAGGTCCTCTAGAAGAGCAGATAGTACTCTTAACAGCTGAGCCATGTCTCCAGACACCCCCCCCCTTTTTTTTTCTTTTGTGTTTTTTGGTTTTTTTAAGGCTAGATATCATGTAGCCAGGATATTCTCATACTCAGTGTGCAGCAGAGGATGGACTTGAGTTTCCTGATCTGATCTTCTTGCCTCCACTTCTAAGTGGAATTATATGCACAGACAATCATCCGACTTTTGGAACAGAACCCAGGCTTCATGTAAGCCAGGATGGCTCCATACAAATGAGCTGAACCTCCAACCGACTTGGGAAATGTTTGCCTTAGATTGAGGTCAGGGTTCAGACTTTGCAGCTGGACCTGGATGTTGCTGACTCTGCTGAGTGACTCGGGACAAATTCCCTTGCCCTCTGTGCCTCAGTTTCCTCAGGTGGGTGTACTGCCTCTCTCTGTGGCCCTGGAACTCAGTCTGTAAACAAGGCTAGCCTCCAACTCACAGAGATCCTGCTGCCTCTGCCTCCCAAGTCCAGGATTAAAGGCGTGTGCTCTGCACCCAGCCGAGTGTCCCGTGTGCAGGTGTGTCTGTGTGACTGTGGGAAGAGCAGGTAGAGGCCCGTCTTCAGTGCTCCCTGGCCTGGAGCTCCCTCCTCCCTGTATCTACTTGGCTGATGCTCCCTCTCTCTGAGAACCCAGCTCAGATCCCATTACCTCCAGAAGGAGCCTCTGAGGCTCTCTCAGCCTGCCTCCCCTCAGGCAGGGTCTCCCACACATCACCTGTATGTATGACTAGTAATGCAGGAAACTCCACAGTCACCATGAACTTCTCCTTGGACCCTACGGGCAAACAGGCCCTCAGCTGGACTCCAGGCCACTTCCTGTGTGTCTGTGTCTATGTGGTAAACGTTTGTGCATATGCACTAGTGTGAAGGAACACACACATATGTGTATATGCACCAGTGTGAGGGAACACCCACTCTTACATATGTGTGTATGCAGATGGAGACCAGAGATTGACCTTGAGTGTCTTCCTCCATTACTCTCTGCTTTATTAGGTGAGCCTACATCTCTTTACTAAAGCTAGAGCCTACAGATTTGACTGGTAGGATGGACAGTGAGCTCTGAGGATCAGCCGGTCTCCAGCCCTCTCCGACATCTCCCATTGCTGGGGTTAGAGACTTGCAACAGCTACTGGGAAGGTGCTGGAGATACAGCTTGGGGTCTCATTTTTGCACAGCAACACTATAGCCACTGAGCCATCTCCCCAGATCTTCCACTCCCCTACTCATTTTGTTGATCCTTCAGTGCCAAGAAAAGCCTGGTGGGAACAAGCTTTGGTAAATGCATAGTGGCATCGCTGAGGTCCCTTGCAGAAGCATAGATGTCTGGAAGACTGCAGGGCCAGCAGAGGACAGCCGAGTGTGTACCAGGTACAGACCACAATCCACAGTGGTGCTCTCTGAGCTGACACTGGGAGATTGCAGCCTAGGGGCACTGTGTGCAGCCCCAAATCCTTGCCTCACTTAATCCCACCAACACTCATTTCAGCTCCCAGAGAGAGACTTCTCAGACCCAAGAATCCCACTTGGACACAGAGTTCATGCAGATGTACTATTTATTAGTGGGTTCAGTCCCAAAATCCCAATGGTGTTATCAGACACAGACTACTTCAGCTTGTGTGCCCATGAGCCTTACTCTTTACATGAACCACCTGGACTCCCCCACTTAGGAAGGACAGCCCTTAATCCACCCCTCACATAATAGCCACAGAAACCCAAGAGCTCATGGGAGGGATTTTGAGGGGAGTCGGCGAACTCATTTTTGGCCCTGGTATTCCCAAAATACATATCACGTGGCCTGGTAGTAGAAAGGATCAATTGCTGTATGTAATAGCCGTAAGTGCCGTAGACCGACATGACACTTTCATCATCACCCAGGATCAATTCCAAAGGATTTCCATCAGAATAGCCATATAATAGACCCCAGTTGCCTCCATGTTGCATCTGCATACTAGGGAAGAGAACAAACTTTAAATACTCATCCAGACACAGTATCACCGGCCTTCCGGGGATCATGGTGCCCCTCCCCTCTCCTTCTCTTTTGCTTCTTGAGACACACGAGCCCCTCTCTCACTCTGGGGAAGCCATTCTCAGGTACTGTGATCTGAAGCACCTGACTCAGCCTGTTGGGGACTCAGCTATTCAATATTCCCAGTAGACATCCCAAGCAGAGCAGAACTTGGGAACCTGCTCATGAGACCTTCAAAGGGTTACCTAAAGTCAGAGACGGGTTGACCCTGGCCAACCTGGGACTTTCTCACCCTAGGTCACTTGTAAGAAAGCAGCAGATCACAAAAGAGCAGGTGCCTTCCCAGCCCCTAAGGGACTTCTCCAGCCCCACACACTGAGTTCCTCAGCATCCTGGTCTTTGGTGGCATTCCAGAGCTTTCTCAGCCCTGTTCACACGCTGCCTTCAATTATCCTGACTCTTCCCCTTGGCATTTACTGTGTGTCTGACATCCTCTAAGTATGGTGCAGAAATCCACTTGGGCCTCAAGGAGGGTTTCCCCAATAGGCGTGACATTGGTTTTCTGCTTCCAAAGGTTCTTACCACTAATACTCACACAGAGGTCCCCTCTGACCCTCACCTCCTAGACTACCCTGACAGGTTAGACTTTGCTCTCCAGTGTGGGGATCAGGGGCATTTTGTGGCTGACTTGAGTAGGCAGAAGCATCTCCAGCTTCTTTGATCAACCCAAGGGTCCACAGCAGGACTGTACCAATGGATTCAGTAAAAGCATGCCTGTGCTCAGGAGACAAGGCAGGGAAAGCCACAAGGAAAAAGAGTTCCTTGTGTCTGGGTGACCCTGAGAATCAAATGTTTTAAGGAGCCACTGGAAACAGTTGGGGTCTGAGGGGAGAGGACCCGACAAGTGGACCATGTTCTTTCGGGCGGGGCTCTGAGAGTGGGAAGGACAGGGCCAGGACGCAGTTGTGGGGCCATGACCTGGCCATTCTTACCCCATAATGTTGCTATTCCGAACATACATCCGAATCCCTGTTAAGTTCTGTCCTTCGGGTACAGAAGTGCAGAAGTGGGTGCCAGTTTTTGTGCCATAGTAAGCTGTGTGGATGAAAACCCAGGCAGGAGAAAACCCACTCAGACATGTGCAGGGTCTGACACCCACCGTTTAAGCCAAGGAGGATTGTCCTGGGACCATATGTAGTCATGGAAAAGCCTGGGAAGTGTCCCCGTGAATCCTAGGTTGCGAGAGATGAGGTGACCACCAGGGAGGGGGCCCACTCCAGAGCTGACTTACTTTCTGTGGAAAAGGCAGGTGTCCCCAGGACAGCAAGGATCAGCAAGAGCAGCATGGCGTGCGGCTGGAACATATGGAGGTCTGGGGGAAAGAGCAAAGACCACCTAACTCCTAGACAGGGAAGCAGCCCGTCTTCACCATGCCCACCCCTGGGAGCCATGCACCTTACCTGGCCGAGGGAATTCGCCCTGGGTATCTTGTGCCTGGAGCTCCTTCCCTCCCCTTATATGCTCCTGGAGTCTCTTGGGCCCCTGTCCAGAAGGAAGGAGTCACTGGCCACCAGAGGGACAGGAAGGAGTTGGTGGGGGGCTCTTCCTGGAGCAGTTTTCAAAACAACTTGGGGAGGCTCCAGGACACACTGTGTTTGCTGACTTGGCACTGCAACTTACATCAACAGGGCTGGTGACAGTGACAACCATTTGTTTCTATTGTCACCTCTGTGTTCTCCTCATGAGCACCTGCTGAGAACTTGACATTACAAATGAGGAGGTTTCCTGAGAGCCTTTCCCCAGCTCTGCCAGCCAAGTTTCAAGCAGTGATGGTGACAGACAACTGGCCTCAGAGAGTCCACAGACCAGGCCCAGGTCTAGGCAGCCCCCTGGTCTGGCTGACTTCCCAGAGCCTCTACAAGCTCCGTGCAGACCGCACAGAGCCAGGGAGGACAATCTTGCAGCCTCTGCCCTGCACTTGTTCAATGGCTGCTTGACCTCTCACTCAGGGATCCATGGAGGTCTCCCTCATGTGCTCGATTTAGGTCTAGTAAGGATTGACAGGTAGTGAGAGACTGGGGGGCAATGGGGATACAAAGATATACAAGACATAACAGGAGCCTTGATTAAAGGCAGAGAGTACAGGGAGGGTGAACTCTCTTATCCAACCCATGTGGTAGCTCCTGGGACCTGGCAGATTTTGTGTGTGTGTGTGTGTGTATGAGAGAGAGAGAGAGAGAGAGAGAGAGAGAGAGAGAGAGAGAGAGAGAGAGAGAGAGAGAGAGAGAGATGTGTGTTACTGGGGATTGAATCTGGACCACCAATACATTTGTCAAGTGCCCCACCATTGAGCTCACAAGGGCCTTTTCCTCTCTGTGTGTTACATGTTTTTGCATGTGGAAATCGGGATGCATGAATGTGTAAATGTCAGTGGACATCAGGTATCTTCTTATCTTTCCCCTCATCCTCATCCTCCTCTTCCTTTTTCTCCTCCTTTTCTTCTTTTACTTGTTTTAAAACAGGGTCTTGCTTTAATACTGGCTATCCTGAAACTCACTCAATATACTAGGTTTACCTCAAATTCATGGAGATCTATCTTTAATGGTAACATTAAAGGCCTGAATTTTTTATATTTTTAATATTAGAATGTCATATATGTGGGTGGTTTTGCCTACATATATGTCTATGCACTAATTTTATGTTTGGTGCCCTTGGAGACCTTAGATAGGCATCAGATCCCTTGTTACTGGAGTTGTATTAGTTCTGGAAGTCCAGCCCAGGTCCTCTGGAAGAACAGCCAATGTTCATGGCCACCTCTTCAGGCCTTTATTCCTGTGTTTGAGGCCATCTCTCTCTAAACCTAGAGCTCTCTGACTCAGTTAGACCTGCTTGTCAACAGGCTCCTAGGATCCTCCTGTCTCCCCTCACTTTCCCTGCATTTGTATTGCAACCATGTAGTGCTGCACCCAACTTTTTTGTAGGTGCTGGGGAATCAAACTCAGAACCTTCTGCTTGATGGTAAACACTTCACCAACTGATCCATCTCCCTGTCATTGCCTCAAGTTCCAAGAGCCCCTTCTTTATACTGGTTGTGATTTTCCCTCCAGGCCTTAGGTCCTGGGTAGTTTGCTATATTTCCCTTTGTCTGTTCTCCATCTGCCCCTATTCACCCTTCTTGAAGGAAGACCCGTGATTCCATACCATCATTCCTAGACTTCACCTCACCTACTGAAAAACCTGCATTTGGATGGCCTGGAGAGATGGGAGGGAGTAGGATAATGATGGGGGAAATAAAGTCTATTTCAACCCTGGGGGAGCAGAGAGCATCTTTAGGAGGGGTATCTGTAGGTAGGGTCTCTGAAAATGTGGCAATGCCATGATTGTTGACAGGGTGTAGAAGCTAAACTGATGCAAAGCCCAGCGTCTTATTCAGCAGGGATGTGATGGGTGAGCCTTGGTCTCCGCTCTGCTGATTGGTGTTGCTGTGGTGATCCACAGAGATTTTCCATCTGAGTACCAGATGCTATGCCGTGCAGATCAAGTTCTAGGAAGAACAGGTACATGTGTCTAGGGTGACAGAGGGACAATGCCATGGTGGTCCCCGGCTCTGGAGCACTGAGGAGTGGTGAAAAGGAGCACTATCCTCCCTACACTGCTTCCCTTACCCTGGTGATGGAGTGAGAACAAGTCAATCTTCTCTTGACCTCTGTCTCTGTCCACCCATTTCTGAGTTTCCCTCATTCTGATTAATGATTCCTTTTTGTGGCTTACATCATTCTCTTAATGACTTTTTTGCTGATTTTTGAGGAAAAAAAAACTTTATTCACTGGAAAATCATGAATAAGACTCACCAAAACAGAGATCTGCATCCTGAGGTAACAATTCTCTGTCCTCATTCCTTCTTTTCCCTCCCACAGTCAACAGTCATGACACTGGTATTTTCTGTGGCTTACTTAAACATGAGACTTGTTTTCTTGAGTCTCTGTGGGGGTCCGAGTGCAGCAAGGCTTTTCCCATCTGTCTACACCTTTGATTGTTGCTGTTGCATCCGTTCGCAAATCCACCACCCTCTTTCCTACCTCTGGGTGGCCAGTTTCAAATGAGTCTGCCCACTGGCCACCTGCCTTGTTCCTGTCCTTTTCTGTGATTCTGCACCTGATTCCTGGTGAGACCCTCCTGTGCTTAGAAAGGGATGTAGATAATGACCTTGTTTGTACCCAGGCTGGCTCTTTCCGGGAACTAGGGACACTGGTCTCGTAGAGATGACAATGAGGGATGGTTTGCAGCACCAGGAGAGACCTCCATTGCCTGAGCTAGGAGCTGATAACACCTGCACAAGGGTAGGAAAACTAGAGAGTGAAAGGCCAAAGAAACCTATCATGTGTTTCTGAGATAAGAATGCTTTTCATGTGTTATAATCCTTGGGAAAATTTAAAAGAGAAAAATATTTTGTGACTCATGAAAATTTTCAGGGTTGGAGTGATGGTTCAGTGGTTAAGAACTTGGACTACAGTTGGGCAGTGGTGGGCGCATGCCTTTAATCCCAGGACTCAGGAGGCAGAGGCAGGTGGATCTCTATGAGTTCAAGGCCAGACTTGTCCACAGAACGAGTTCCAGGACAGCCTCCAAAGCCACAGAGAAACCCTGTCTCAAGGGAAAAAAAGAACATGGACTTCTCATTCAGAGTACCTGAATTCTATTGCTAGCACCCACATCAGGTGGCTCAGACCATTTATAACTCTAGCTCCAGGAGATTGGATGCCTTCATCTGGCCTCCAGGACACCTATACTCACATGAATGTACCCCCCCGAGTGCACACACACAGATACACTTAACTGAAAATAAATCTTTCCCTTTTTGAAGACAGGGTCTTACTATGTAGCCCTGGCTGACCTAGAACTCACTCTATAGACCAGACTGGCCTTAGTCACAGAGATGTCTGCCTCTGCCTCCCCAGTGCTGGGATTTTTCTGGCATGTGCACTACCACACTTGCCATAAAAAGAAAGATTTCTGTAATCCTGATGCTTTCCTTGCCCAGGTCAAGAGTCTGTTGTCTGAGTCTGCTTACTGCTTCCCAAAGCACACAGTTGTGTTGTCTGGTCCCTCACACAGGCTTCTGGCCCTGTACCACTCCATACCCTGGAGCAATTACAGCCCTGTCCCTGGCAGACTGGACAGAGTAGAGGGTAGGCGGCTCTGCTCAACGCTGTCTTTGATGGGGCTAGGAAGAGCTCTTCTGCACAGACCTGTGCTTGGTTCTGAGCTCTGCACTACCTCCCTAGGACGGTCAGAGACTGCAGCTCCCCTGATGGATGTGGTGGAGGTGAGCACCCACCTCACTCACCCCCCCAGCCCTCCTTACACCTCTGCTCTGCAGACACAGTAGAGTCTTGGCTGGGGACACGGCATCAGATCCCCTCCTGATGGCCCAGGAGGATATTTGGGGAGGTGGAGGCGGAAGGGTCTAAGCTCTTAGCAGACAAGCTCTTGGAACCTGGGGCCTGGAAGGGGACACAAAGGGGGCTTGTGTTCTGCCCCAAACCGGCCCAAGGGCACTTTTGTGAGTTTGCTGTCACTTTGAGTGCCAAAAGGAGGGTCTGTCTGGCTGAGATTCAAGGAAGTACCCCTTGAATAGAGGGTGGGGTGAGAGGAACAGACAGGGGCTAACCTGGCCAGAGGGAATTGTGGGACTTGTCCAGTTGCACAAGTAAGGAACATTTTCATATTGTTGGTGTGTGGTAACAGCTTTCACACACCCACACATGAAAACACACAGCTACAACCATATTGAACAGGTACAGTCCTCACATATACTGGTAGGGGGGTCCAATCCCAAAAGAGTCTTTCTTTGTACCCCTCAGCTGCAGAGCTGGCCCCGAGCCTACACTAAGGAATTTTCAACAAAGGCCTTTTGTCCCTCAGGATCAGGACCCCCCCAAAAGGGGATTTACTGGGTATTTATCAACTGCCCTGGGCACAGCCCAGTCTGCATGGTGCCAGGGACTGGAACAATGAGGCCTTCTCCTCCGACAGAGGTGGGTCCTGGGCTGCGGAGTCCTTGTGTCAAGAGGTGGTTATAACACCTGGCTCTCCCAGCTCTCCTGATACAGGGCTGGGAAAGACCCCTCTGGAAGTCTGGATGAACGGGTCTCCATCCGCAGCCCACTCGAAGCCGCAACCACAGCTCCATGCTGGTCACCTACCGGAAGCTTCTGTCGTCACTTGGAGGCTAGATCCTGGCCCCGGCTCTATCCTTGGGACATTCGGGCCAGAAATGTGATTTCTGGGGCCAAAGAGGAAGCTGGCTCTTCCGCACTATCCCCAGCTGATCCCTGGGACCACAAGAACCAGAGGAGACTGATGGGAGTGTTAGAAGGATCAGAAGCCAAGTGGCATATCTGTACAGGGAGACGCAGAGGTTATCCGTGTACGTGGACTCCAGTCTACGCTGCCAGGGAAAGACCCTGAGAAGCAACCAGGCCTGGGGGATGGCTCATCTCTACTGACTGAAATACCCAGCAACCTTCACCAAAAATCCCTGCCGGGTGCCTTTCTGTGCAGCACATTTTTGCTACGCTCTAACCCAGAAAACTCGGCACTTCATTAGAAAACCAAGGTACCAACTGCAAGTATTGCCTCATCATTAGCATAATTAAAACTCCATCTGTGGGTTAGTGAGATGGCTCAGTGGGTAGCGTTTCTCGCCACCAACCTGCCCATCTGAGTTTGATCCCGGGGGCCCACATGATGGAAGGAGAGAACTGACTGCTGCAAGCTGTCCTCTGTCCACTTCAAGACACCAAAGGGAAGAGCACATTTGGATCAGAGCTGGGTTATGAGAGGCGGGATAGGCTCATGTCCACCCTTGAGTGTGGGAGGGTGTGCCCCTGCTGTCTGGGTACTTGGTGTTGAAGCCCAACCAAGGATAAGACAAGAGGAGTTACAAGGACACTGCCCCAGGAGCTAGGAGGTGCTGGGCTGTGAGCTAGCTTTTGGTTTCTGACATTTCCCTTCTAGCCAGTTTTTACCCAACCCAGCTGGACAGCCCACTGCGTCTCTAATCCTCAAGAAAAGTCCCTAGACTCACCCTTTTCCTGGTGTCCTGAACTGCCCAGGATCAGGCCGCTGGGAAGCAGAGGGATGTGTTCAAACATCTAGTTCAAAGCTTGTTGAGCTGTTACATAACTGGATGTAAGAATCGGGGTAGAAACAGTAAACAATTTCTGAAGGTGTGATGACTAAAAACATCAGATTCGTAAAGAATCTGAGGTGCTTCTGGTGGGACTTACCCATCTTGTGTCCTGGGACTTCATGGCAGCCTTGGTTCCAAACACACAATGAACGCAGGTGACACTGTACCACACAAGGACAATGAATGCTGCCTCAAGTGCCTGGGCTCCGATTCAAGAGTGTTGTAGGCTGTTAATTGCAATGTTTTGCTTTGTTTTTTGCTGTTCCTACAAAGTTTTCTGCTCTTATGGAAACTCAATAGCTTAATTACAGGAAACAAAGACTTAATTTTTTCCCATGTCACTCTTCGGCACGCTAAGCATCAAATTGTTATTTTTTTTGAGAGTAGACAAATAAGCATCTCATTACCACATAGATTTGCATTCAGGAAAAATGGCTAAAGGGGATGGAGAGACGATGGCTCAGTGGTTAAGAATTCCTGCTGCTCCTCCAGAGGGTCGAGTTTGGTCCCCAGCACCCACATCAGTGGCTCCCAACAACCTGTGACTCCAGCTGTGGAGGATTTCACACCTCCTCCTGACCTCCCCAGGAACTTGCACACAGACACATACAAATACACATAAATACATTTTTTTAAATATTGCATATGCCAAAAAAACTGTTTTTATTTATTTAAATTAAAAACAATCCTATTTTACATACTAATGCCCATTCCCTCTCCCTCCTGTCCTCCCACTCTCCTCACCAGCCCCCCCCCCATCCACTCCTCAGAGAGGTGAGGACTACCATGGAGAAATCATCAAAGTGTGTTACATCATTTGGGGCAGGACTGAGACCCTCCTCCCTGTAACTAGGCTGAGCAAGATATTTCTCCATAGGCAATGGTCTATAAAAAGCCAGTTCATGCACTAGGAATAAATGCTGGTTCCACTACCAGTGACCTGATAAGAGGAGAACTCGAGGGATCAGGAAGGTCGAGTTGGGGGAAGGACAGAGAAGGAGAGCAAGGGAAGAGACACCTAGGTGGAGGGAGCCATTGTGGCACTAGGGAAATTCCCAGAGATCCACAAGGGATCCAACTAAGAATCTAAGCAATAGTATAGAGAGGGTACCTTAAATGTCTTTCTCGTATAATGAGATTAATGCCATCAAAGAATTGTTTTAAAAGAAAGTTCTTTGAGATCAATTATCAACAAATTTGTACACCTGTCTTATATACTCAAATACTGGGTCCCATAAAAATGTCCCCAATGAGGGACTGGAAGGATGACTCAGTGACTAACAGCGCCATTGCTCTTCCAGCCAACAAAGTTCAGTTCCCAGTGCTACAAACTGTGGTACCTTCAAATGCCTGTAACTACAGACCCTGGAGATCCAACACCCTCTTCTGGCCTCTGCAAGAAGAGCCCTCCTATGTACTTAGCCCCACACAGAAACACACGCATAAACATAATTAAAATTAAAAGAACAAATAGATCTCTTCTAAAAAACAAAACCTCTCCGGTGAAAAAGAGTCAAAGTGGAGAAAGTTACACAGTCCTGTTCTAGTCGATATATCTAATTAGCCCACTCCCAACTCATCACCGACACTGCTAAGGCTCCCTCAGGCATCTCCCCTTGTCCAGGCCACCATTTTCTCCATTGTGGGGCCCGTGCTCTCAACCCCAGCCCTGGGCTCTGGCTCTCTGCTTCCCACAGACTCCTCTAGTTAGAAAAGCTACTTCTTGGTGGCTGCCATTCCAGTGTTTCAGCATTTGCCGTTGGCCTCTGCCCACACCCACAGGGGTCACTTGGTAGCAGTGATTTTGTCTCCAGCACACTCCCTTGACCACCATCTGCCCCTTTTCCACTTAGATGGCCCCTGTCCCCTCACCTGCTTTCCCAGAAATTAACTAGAGGATGTAAATAAGTAAAGGCAAAAAGCCCTCAGGAACACGGCTCCCTTGGGAGCTCTGAGCCCAGAGACTAAGTGGCAGTTAGACAACAGAAAGAAGTCTATGAGGTATCAGAAACACCACGGGAGTCAGAGAGAGCCCTGTACCCTCCTGGACCAGGTCAGTGTTGGCGAACACCACGGGGGTCAGAGAGAGCCCTGTACCCTCCTGGACCAGGTCAGTGTTGGCGAGTCCCCCTCCTTCTGCCTCTGAGCCAAAGAACCAGGCCCATGACTAACCCCCTTGTGGACAGGGAGGGGCATGCAGGTCCCTACTCTATCCAGTCACACAGCAGGGACTTGGGCTTTTCTTCACCAGGCCCTTGTGGGAACATGACTAGTTGATGGGGCAGAGTGAGGTTTGCCTAGCCAGGACGCCTCCTAAAATATCTTGAAGACTTCAGTTTATGTCCATCTTGTCCCCTCCCTTCCATCTGCTGGGGCCTTGGACCCTGCAACAAGAGCTGAAGGTGGGATTCCCCGGCTTTGCCCCTGTGGGCCTTGACCGCACCCAGAGTCTCAGTTCCAGTGCTGAGGGTGTGATCAGAGCAGCTCCTGGGGAGCCTGGGGGTGCGCCCTGTGGTTGGTGCCGTGCCAGGCACACTGTGCTCTGGTCCTGCATCAACAGAAGATCTGTAGATGCTGTGGTTCCTGGATCAGGAAGGAGCGGGGACCAGAGGACCTCAGAGCATGTCTCAAAAAGAAAACGGGAAGGCTCGGGAAGAAGCAGACCTCCCAATGGGTGTACTGGCTGTGTTGTTAGAGACCTCAGCCATACTAGACTCACTCCTGGGTACCGGTCTCTGGGGAAGATTCATGATCCTCCTGCCTCCACCTCCCACGTTCTGGAGTTACACCAAACCCAGCCACAAGTTATGATTTTTTTGTAATTGCACTAAATGGATGCTACTGTTTACAGCCAAAACTCGATTGATGAGGATGGGCCAAGATTTCAGGGTTAAATACAGGTCTTGGAATGAGAGAAAGAAGGTGTCTGTACAGGAAGTAATCCAAGTTCCAGGAAAGCCATGAAAGTATTAGCATGTTTATTAGCAAACAAGATACAAAGCCCCACAGATGACCTTACTTTCGCAGGTGGGCTCAGGCAAGCCTCACATCAAGGGAGCCCAGGCCAGAGTGAGAAACAGCAGCAGTGGGACCGGGTCAGGCCTGAGGACCCCATTTCGGATCATGGTTGACCGGATCCAGTTGTAGTGATGACTGATGTTGGTATAGACTCCAGGCCGATTGGGCCGACCACAGCCTATTCCCCAGCTCACGACTCCAACCTGATACCACACCATATCCTGGTCGCAGACCAAGGGTCCTCCTGAGTCACCCTGAGGGGCAAAATAGGTAAGCCTGGCCTGGAGGGTGGCAAGTGGGACTAGGAGGGAGGTCAGGAGAGAAGGGGTTGCCGTGGAGCTGGCAGCCTGGGTAAGCTTCCAACTCCTTGCCCTGACAGCAGTGGAGCCTCAGCTTCTTCATCTGCAAAGTGGGGCCACAGTCTATATCCCAGGGTTGGCCTAAGATTGAATGAGGAACCATGTGAAACCTCAGTTGAATGGAAGTTGGAGCTAGGGATGGTAGGCTAGGGGCCCAGAAGACAGTGGTGGGGCGAGGTGACACTTACAAAGCAGGCGTCCTTGCCGCCAGCAGGATTGCCAGCACAAACCATGTCTCCCCAGATGGTTGTGCGGAAGTCTGACTGTTTAAACATGTGGTTACACATGCTGTTGTTGATGATAGCTACTTGCACTTCCTGAAGAGTGTAGGGAGACGGCAGACCTGTGCGGGGGACGGAAGACAGAGAGATAGATCTCTTCTCCTGGAAGGAATGGCACAGGGTGTGGGGACCGGGGTGTCCTGGGGCACTTATTGTACCTGAGATAGCGCTATCAATGGTCCCTAGCTGCAGCCTCACACTAACATCATGGGTGATAACAGTATCACAGGACTCAATAGATGGATCACTGTTAATGCCATCCCCTGAGACAGGATGCAGACTGCACATGAAGGCCCTGCCTGAGCAACTAACCAAAATATGTATAGGGGAGGAGCTTGATGGTGAAGGTTGGAGTGGGTGCCGCAGACCAAGCCCTGTGAGAAACCCAGGTACTGGACCAGGGGCAGCAGCTCTGTGATGCCCTTTCCTTCTGACTTTCCTTAGGCCTGAACTAGAACCCCCAAACACCTCTTGAAAATAACAGAATCGGGATACATTAATTTAAAGGGGTTCTGGGGAAGAGCCCCGTTACCAAAATGCACTAGGGAACTGTCAGAGCCTGATGAGGACTCGCATCTGTTGGATCCTGGAGTCTAGGCCCCCAGCACTGTCTGACTACAAGGATGACAAAGAGCCACAGTGGGTGTCTCCTGTCTGCTGGGACTTCTCTAAGAGCTCAGATCTCAGGCACCTCTAGGAAGTCAGAGCTTTCTTTATTCTGTTCAACAGAAGGGGCAACTGAGTTTCAGCCAAGTGTCTTGTTCACATTGCCCCAGCTAGCACATAGCAAGGAAACAGTTCCCCCGGTTCCAAGGTGAACAGAGCTGTATTCACAGCAGAAGTGTCTACCACATGTTCACTAAGAATAAGAGTGAAGCCAAGGCTCAGGAGACAAACACACCCCTGCCGCCCACCACCACGCCCATCTGCTGGGCACAGGAAGAGGGCGGCAAAGTGGGCTCACAGCCCCTCTAGGAGAAGAAATTGACTCCTATCTAACACACGGATTGAGAATTGAGTTCTCTATTCTCCCTGCCAATTCTGGCTATATGGCCTTGGGGACGTTCCTTACGCTGTCTGAGCCATGGAACCCTGGCCTCACTTCCTTTTACTAGTTCTGGGGCTTTGGACACTTTCCATAGTATTCTCAATTACCTCAATGACAAAGTGGACATAAAAATACACTGTTGCACAGGTGAGATGCTCGGTGGGTAAAGGCCCTGCCATCAAGTCTGATTTTGATCACCAAAGTCCACATGGTAAAAGGAGAAGAGTCTCTCAAAAGCTACCCTCTAACTTTCACACATGGTAAAAGGAGAAGAGTCTCTCAAAAGCTACCCTCTAACTTTCACACATGGTAAAAGGAGAAGAGCCTCTCAAAAGCTACCCTCTAACTTTCACACATGGTAAAAGGAGAAGAGCCTCTCAAAAGCTACCCTCTAACTTTCACACATGAGCCACTGCATGAACTTGTACCCCGCAACACGTACAAAACAACTAGGGCTGGAGGGAAGGCTCGGCTACTGAGAGCGCTTACAGCTCCTGCAGAGGACTTGGGTTCAGTTCCCAGCACCCACAGGCAGCTCCCAACCACCTGTAACTCCGGTTCCTAGGGAACTGAAGCCTTCTTCTGGCCTCTGCGTGCATACACTCAAGCACACGAACAACACACAAAATAAATGTTTGGTTTCATTTTGTTTTTCAAGATAAGGTTTTTCTATGTAACCCTAGCTGTCCTGGAACTCACTTTGTAGACCAGGCCGGCTTCAAACTTACAGAGATCCACCTGCCTCTGCCTCCTGAAGGCTGGGGTTAAAGGCATATGCTTTTTTTTTAATAAATGTTTTTAAAAACAAAATAAATTGACGTAATCCTTTTGAAGGGGGCTGAAGTGGTCTAAAGATAGCTCAGTGATTGAGAGCACGTTCTCAATCATGAGGACTGAAGTGGGAACCTCATCATCACTGAGCGGCTCAGAAACACCTGTACCTCCAGTCCTGGGGATCCTACACCCTCGTCTATCCTCTGTGGGCATCTGCACATGCACTCACACTTATATGAATTAAATAAAATATTTAAAATCCCTTTTTTAAAATTACACTGCTGGAGTAGGGGGCTGGTTCCCAAAGACCCAGGTTCAATTCTCAGCGCCTATATGGCAGCTCATAATTGTCTATAACTCCAGCTTCAGGGGATCTGAGACATACACATGCAGGCAAAACACCCGTACACATAAAAAAAATAATACAGTGAATTTTTTAAAATTACACTGTCACCTTCATGCACCTGGGTCCCCAAGCCTGCAACAGTGCCAAGCACATGACATACAGGAAAGGAGCTGAATCTGTTACTACTGCTCTTATTAGGGGATATTGCAGAAATGGGCCAGTCAGGGAGCATTGAGCAGGGTCGCTCCAGCACAAAGGGCGTGCCCAGGCTGTGGGGCTGTAGGCACCAGGGTAGTTAGGAGGAAACTGATTAGTGCTTGGGGGGGCGGGGTTCCTGTTGAGCTGCAGGCAGGTGTTTGATTATGGCCCCTAAGGACCTCCGAAGGGATTTCAGTGGTGAGTCTCAAATGGAGGAAAATGCCTTGGGAATTGTGAGGAGAGTGCAGTCAAAATTGGGGTGGGTGGACCAGGCACGGAGGAGTTTACTGACGCTCCCTGATGGGGGTGGCTGCAGAAGTGGAAATACCACAAATACAATGATGTGGGAGCCATCCTATGGAATTCCCCACCCCTGCTGGCCTCCTGGCACCTCTGAGCTCCAGCCTGCATGCTGTCTGGAAGAAAGGGACTGCCTCTCTCCTTCTTGCAAGCAGAAGTAAGAAAAATAGTTGGAAAATGTTGAGTGATGGAGGACAGGGACCCACTGGAGCTGCAGAGTCCTGGGAAGGACTGGTGTAGAAGGACCGTGTGGGGCCACCTCCCAAGCCAACCCGAACCCAGCCTCACTTTCATCCTCTCCAATATCCCCCCAGCCGGTCACCCAGCAGTCAGTTCGGTTCTCAAACTTGAATGTGGAGTTCAGGAGGCATATGGGTTGGATATAGTTATTGTAGTTGACAGGAGATGACAGCTTCAGCAGGGCGATGTCATGAGGATATGACTGCACGTACTTGGGACTCAGAAAGATATCTTCTATTTGGTAACGGTTGGAATAGGCCTGCAGGTTCCATAGAGACGGCCTGGCAGTCAGCTCACCAAACTGGACTGACCAATCATAGGGATCGCTATCCCTGCCGGAGAAGGAGAGAGCAGTCAGGCCTCTGAGCTCACCTGAGCGTCTCTCTGTGGTGACACTGTGGGACTAACACTTGTTCATCCTTAGCATAATTGTCGAGTCCTTCTTATGGGCCAAAAAGCCTTTTTATAGGACCACAGAACCCAGACGGACTGGGCACTGTGAGTGGAGGAGCAGGAAAGTGTTCTTGTCATCTGTTAGAGCTGTCTTAAAGACAGAAGCTGAACCTATGGGAAACCCTTGTGCAGCCCGCAAAAGAGCTGAGCAAATGTGGGAGCCAGTGTGGGGATATTTGGGAAAAACTTGAGGAATGAAGGAAAGGCAGAAGAGCAGTCAATACACTCAAAGGGACTTGAGACTGTCCTGAAAGAACATTCTAGAAGAACTGAAAGAGGGTTTCCTCCAGGAGCATTAATGTGGAAAAATCTTATGAATGTACCCCATCACAACTTCTCCTGAGGCTACACTAAAATGTTTACTTACGCAGGCTCCAAACCAAGGTGACGGACCTCCCTACCCCTCAACTGCCGCAGCTTGACCCCACACTCACTTTTGGAAGCAATGGGCAGCTGTAAGCACCCAGCGGCGGTTGAGCAAGGTCGCACCACATAAGTGGGTGCCCCATACGCGCAGGCTCCCTTGCCATGGCCAGCGGCCAAGCTCCGCATCATCTCCGCCCACTACACGTGAAGGGTTGACTCTGTGACCGCAGGGCCCTGTGAGCAGGATCAGACTGAGTACACGTGTGCACACACGTGCGCACACACGCACACGCACACGCACACACACACTTTGTAGCCCTAGGGCATGGGGAGGGAGCGACTTCCTAAGGACTCGCTGGGACGTTCCCCACGTGATCCATGTGCACCTGCCCCCACCCCCCCTACCCCCTGGGGGGTTGCCATTACTCTCAAGCACAGTTGAGTTCTCGAGGGCGAAGGAGAAGAATAATTGAGGCCCACCACACAGGAAGCGTGTTCTGAGCGTCTTACCTGACAGTAGGTCCCCTTCTTGCAGCACTGGATGGAAATGAGAGAATGAGAGACTTCACCTTCACCTCCCCATCTCCCTGTCGTCGGCCCCAGTCCCGCAACAGTTCCCCCAGAGCAGCTCACCGGGATTCTCTGGCAACACCTGTGAATGGGCTGGCTGTGAGACCACCGCCGCCGCCGCCACCAGCAGTGGCACCAACGTCTTGCCCCGCGCGCCCATGGCCACTTCTCCCGCCACCGGGCACCCCCTCTTACTTCCTGCTGTGCCAGGCCCGCGCCCACTGCGGGAGAGGCAACTCCTTAGGCCCAAAGGTTGACTGGGGACCCTGGTGCCCTATCCGGGGCCTCCATTAAAGCTGCTGATATGGCACAGCAACCAGTGAACCCGAGCAGTCCTTCTGTCATCCGAGCTCAGGGGAGCCTGCTGCCTTCCCTGTTGCCCTCCGTCCTCTGCCCACGACTTCCTCCAGGACCAAGCTGCTGACCCTTAGCCAGAGGCCCCCCAGGAAGCTCCATGAGCGCTTCTGAGGCCTGTCCCTCGTGGGATCAGCCAAGAATTGGTCCATCACAGAACTTGGCGAAAGAAGGGCCTGGGCTTTCTCCCTTAGGCAGTGAGCTGGGCTCCGCCGCCTTAGGCTGCCCCCTAGCGGCAGGTTCGTCTTTAATAGCCTTAGTCTTCCTCCTTGTGGAATCTTTTTTTAAATGTATTTACTTTTTCTTTCTTCTCTATTTTCTTTGGTTTTGTCATTGCTTGTTTTTCTTTTTGAGACAGTGATTCATTTTATATGCCACACTGGACTCAAATTTATGATCCTCTGGCCGTAGCTTCCCCAGAGCCTCCTAGAATTTCTTTAAACACACACACACACACACACACACACACACACACACACACACATGCACGCACGCATGCAAAAACTGTCAAAAGATTTTTAAATATAGCCGGACGTTGGTGGCGCATGCCTTTAATCCCAGCACTCGAGAGGCAGAGGCAGGCGGATCTCTGTGAGTTCGAGGTCAGCCTGGTCTACAGAGTTCCAGGACAGCCTCCAAAACAATACAGGGAAACCCTGTCTCAAAAAACCAAAATATATATATTTAAAAATATAGAAAGAGATAATTTAGCTGGGCAGTGGTGCACACGCTAATCCCAGCACTCAGGAGGCAGAAGTTGGCAGATTCTCAGTGAGTTTGAGGCCAGCCTGGTCTACAAAGCAAGTTCCAGGACAGTTAAGACTGTTACACAGAGAAACCCTGTGTAACACCCCCTCAACAAAATAAAAAGGGAGAGAGAGGTTTTAATCAAATATTTAATTTCTCACACTTTTTAAATCTTTTTTGTTTTGTGGTTTTTGTTTTGTTTTCTCACTAAGTAGCTCTGGTTGTCCTGGTCTACAGAGCTAGTTCCGGCCAGCCAGGGCTACACAAAGAAACCCTCACTGAAAAAACAAAACAAAAAAAAAATGTGGGGCTGGAGAGAATGCTCAGTGGTTAAGAGCACTGGCTGCTCTTCCAGAGGAACCAGGCTCAGTTCCTAGCACCCACATGGCAGCTCACAGCTGTCTGTAACTCCAGTTCTAGGGGATCTGGTATCTTTACATAGACATACATACAGGTAAAAACACCAATGCACATAAAAATAAATATTTTTTGGGGGGCGGAGGTCCAAGACAGAGTTTCTCTGTATTGCTTTGGAGGTTGTCCTGGAATTGGCTCGGTAGACCAGGCTGGTCTTGAACTCACAGAGATCCACCTGCCTCTGCCTCCCAAGTGCTGGGATTAAAGGCGTGTGCCACCAATGCCTGGCTCATAAAAATAAATCCTAAAAAAATATTCGTGAGTGTCTCTGTGTGTACCATTCATGTGTAGTATCGGAAAGGCAACAGCAGGGTCCCAGATCCCCTGGAGCTGGAGTTACAGGCGTTGTGAGCCAGAGGCGAGGGCTGGAAACTGAATTTGGGTCCTCGAGAAGTACAAGCAGGTGCTCCTAATCATTTAATCATCTCTTCAACACCATCACCACCCTCTTTTAAAATTTTTTATGTGTATGAATGTCTTGCCTTCATGTATGTATGTGTACCATGTGCATGTCTGGTCCCTGTGGAAGTCAGAAGAGGGCGTTGGATCCCCTGGAACTGGAGTTACAAATGGCTGTGAACTAGCATGTGGGTGCTGGGAACCAAATCCAGGCCCTCTGCCAGAGCAAGAAGGGCTCTTAACTGCTGAGCCATCTCTCCAGACCTCAATCCTCTATCTTTAACTTGCATAATTGTATATATTTATGGATTGCAGTGTCGTATTTCTCTCTCACTAATTTTTTATTTTGTTTTTTTGTTGTGTGTGTGTGTGTGTGTGTGTGTGTGTGTGTGTGTGTGTGTTTTTAGAAAGGTTCTTTCTATATTCTGGAACTTGCTATGTAAGCCAAGCTGGTCTGGAACTCACATAGATCTGCCTGCCTTGCCTCCTGACTATGGAATTAAAGGCATGCAGTAGCATGCTTGGCTAGTATGGTATTTCAATACATATACAAAATGCGCAACATCAGATTAGGATAAATGACAAATGCACACCATCAAAATTCATCATTTTTGTGTTGGAAATATTAAAAATGTTCTCCACTATTCTGAAGTAATAAATTGTTGTTGTCCATAGTCCCCTCACATGCTATGGCACTTTAGAAATTACTCTTTCTACCCCAACCCCTATCATTCACCCTTCTCTCCACCGGCTTCCTCTCCCATACCTCCAAGACTCTGCTACCACTATTTTGTTCTGTACTTTGAGATCGACTTTTTATGGCGTTTCATTTTTATTTAGGTTTTACGAGGTGGGTTTGTTTTATTGCAATGGGATGGACCTCAGGGCCTTGCACACACCAGGGAAGGCATTTACCAGTGAGTTACATACCCAGTTCCTGGGGGGTTTTGTTTGTTTGTTTGGTTGGTTCTTGATTTTTTGAGACAGGGTTCTCTGTGTAGTCCTGACTATCCTGGAACTCGCTCTGTAGACCAGGCTGGCCTCACACTCACAGAGATCTGCGTGTCCCTGCCTCCCGAGTGCTGGAATTAAAGGTGTGCGCCATCACTTCCTGGTGGAGCTCTTGGTATTTATCCTGTTTCTGCAGTCCCATCCCTGTTGTTGCAAACAGCAGGGTCGTGTTCTATTTCTGGCTGAACAATATTCAGGATAACCTGCACCACATTTTCTTTACCATTCGTCCATTGGCAGAGGCCTCTGATGATCCAGTGTCTGGCTGCTGCGCCCAGGCTCAAGTTCTGAATTAACTTTTCTTCTTCTTCATTTTCAATTAATTTCTTCACTAATATACAAAACAAGGTGTTGTGTCGGCATTTCCATCCTGTGTCATTATTCTTGGTTCATTCACCCTCTCCTTGGTTCATATTCAGCCCCTTCCCACTGCTCTCTTTCCAAATAACATTTCTAAATAAACGGAGGGGTAGAGAAAGCTTGGTGGGTGAGAGCATTTGCTGCTCTTGCCAAGGACCCCAATTTGGCTCCCAGCATTCACATGGCAGCTCACAAACATAGCTAAGTCCAGTTCCAGGAGATCTGACCTCTGATCCATGTGGTACACATACATACATACATACATACATACATACATACATACATACATGCATACATACATACATACATGCATACATGCATACATACATACAAAGACTTTTTGTTTTGTTTTTTGAGACAGGGTTTCTCCATGTAGCTCTGGTTGTCCTGGAACTGGCTCTATAGATCATGCTGGCCTTGAACTCATAGAGATCTGCCTGCCTCTGCTTCCTGAGTGCTGGGATGCACTATCATGCCTTGCTGAGGCAAAAGACTCTTACACAGTTTTTGTTAAATATTTATTTATTTTTAATAATTTATTTAATTTTATATTGGTGTGAAAGTGTCAGATCCCCTGGAACTGGAGTTATAGACAGTTGTAAGCTGCCATGTGGGTGCTGGGAATTGAACTCTGATCCTCTAGAAGAGCAGCCAGTGCTCTTAACCACTGAGCCACTACACCCACATTTTTAGTTTAAAAAAGAGTGCAGTGTTCAAATGAAGACCCCATGTGAATGGAAATGTGTGATGCTCATCTTTTCATCTTGTTCTGGTTACAGCTTTTCTTCCCTCTCCTCCACTGAGAGATAGCTCAGTGATTAATAGCACGTGTTGCTCTTCCAGAAGACCCAAGTCCAGTTCCCAACACTATGTTGAGCAGCTCACTAGTCCCTGTAACACCAGCTCTGGGCCTTCTAGTCCCTATGAGCACACACATACATATAAATATGAGTAAAACTAAAAATATTTTAAATTGAATTTTATATGTATAAATGTTTTGCCTGCATGCATGTAAGTGCAACACATGCATGTGTGGAACTAGTGGAGACCAGTAGGGGGCATCAGATCCCCGAGAATTGGCTTTACGGATGGTTGTGAACTGCCATGTGGGTGCTGGGTTATGAGCCCAGCTCTTCTGCAAGAGCGAGTACTCTTAACCACTGAGCCATCTCTCCAGTCCCTAAGGAGTTTGTAAAATGATGTATGTAGGGGCGGGGTGTCAGGGTTTGTGAGTGTAAGTGTAGGTGCCCTTAGAGTCCAAACCCATCAGACCCCTGGAGCTGGAAATGGAGGTGGACGATGGGAAGCAAACTTGGATCCTCAGCAAGAGCGTAGTCACTGAGAGTCCAAGTAGCCTCTAGTGGATTAAATCTTATACAAACTTGGGAAAAGCCTGTCAATATGAGTTTGATCCTGGAAGCCACCTGAAGGTAAAAGGGGAGAACCAACCTGCAAAATGCTGTCCTCTGACCTCCACGCATGAGCAGGCGTGCATCCCTGGATCACCATGCACACACATATACATAATAAACTAATTTATCAATGACTTTGTCAAGAAACGTGTATGAAAGGAACAGAGACACCGCTAGGCTGTCCATCTCAGAATCTCAGTGGCCTGTGACCACTGGAGGAGGTCTGTGTTTTTTAACTTTTTGTTGCGATCAAAATGCCCAACATAACTTGAGACAGGAAGGCTTTGTGTCAGCTCCACAGTTTGAGAGGTGTCAGGTTGTCGTGGTGCAGGGGAGGTATGGCAGAGCTCAGCAGGTCATATCAGAGAAGGCAGAAAGCAGGAGAGAGAGAGAGACAGGGACAGAGACAGAGAGACAGAGACAGAACAGGACAGGGCAGGATACACCTCCAAAAAGGACGGTGCCCCAGTAAAATAATCCCTCCTGCTAGGTCTCACCCACGATCTCGGTTAGTTTCCTATACTGCTGTAAGTCAGACATCATAACCAGTGCAATTTACAGGAAAAAGTTTATTTGGGGCTTACACGTTCAGAGGTTTAGCGGCCTTGACCATTGAGGCAGAAACATGGCAGCAGGCAGACAGTCATAGTGCTTGAGCAGCAGCTGGGAGTGTTCATCTTGAGATACAGCACAAGGCTGGGATGGTGGAGTCTTTTTGAAACCTCCAAGCCCACCCCTAGTGACAGCCTCACCTCCTAACCCTTCCCAAACATTGCTGCAAACGCAGGGGGGGCAGGGGGCGGCAAGTCCCACGTTTTCAAATATATGAGCCTGTAAGGGCCATTCTCAAATCATCACACCTATTTTTACCTTCTCCCAATAGTGCCATCACGCTATAAATCTACCAAGGAATTGCTTCATTCCTTAAGTCAGAACCTAGAGATCAAATTGTCTCTGGAAAAACCCTCAGAGACACACCCAAAAAAATATTTGCTGTCTATAATCTAGATGATTCTCAAGGCTACCAAGGTAAATGTTAAGATTAACCATCATTGACAGGGTGTGATGGCACACACTTTTAACCCCAACAGAGGCAAGTGGATCTCTGTGAGTTCAAGACTACCCTAGTTCTACATAGTATAAGTTCCAGGACATCCAGAGCTGCATAATAGAGAAACCTTGTCTCAAGAAATAAACAGAAAACATTAACGGCCACTGGGTCTGTACTGTTTGGTGTCCTCTGTGTGTCTTGAACCCCACTTCCTCCAGGAAATAGTGGGAATGGGAGGGTGGTGAATTCTCCAGCACTGCTTTCAGGGGCTCCCTCCAGTCAATGCATTTCCACTAACATGGGTGTCTACTCCTGGCAATCCTGAGCCTTAAACCTGGTGGCAAGGCAGAAGCAATCTGCCAGGGATCCTACCAAGAGGCGTTTAGGCAGCATTCCCAAATGGTGACCCCAAGAGATCTGGTGTGGCAACAACAGCCGTGATCTCCTTAACGTCACATGCTTGTGTTCAGTCCCTCCTGCCAAGAAAGGGCCAGTGGGCACAGGAGCTGGCCAAGACACTCCAGGGCAGAATGGATCCCAAGGCAGCAGGTTAGGGGACCAGATCCACCGGATAGGAAAAGACCAAGATTTTCCCAAGAACCTTTTTGTGTCCCTTAGCACCCTAGCCAGTCTCTGTGTGCTCCCTGGCGCCACAACGAAGCAGAGCTCACCACCCAGGCACAGTGACAGCTGCCGCCTTGAGAGAGTGGGGACAATCCTGACCTCAGCCCAAGGGGTTGCTCAGGCCACAGGTCCCAACCTGACCTTTCAGGCTGCCCAAGCATGTGTGTGTGCGTGTGTGTGTGCGTGCGTGTGTGTGCGTGTGTGTGCGTGTGTGTGCGTGTGTGTGTGCGTGCGTGCGTGTGTGTGTGCACGTGTGTGTGCGCGCGTGTGTGCGTGTGTGCGCGCGTGTGTGCGCGTGTGTGCGTGTGTGTGTGCGTGTGTGTGCGTGTGTGTGCGCGTGTGTGTGCGTGCGTGTGTGCGCGCGCGTGTGTGTGCGTGTGTGTGTGTGTGTGTGTGTGTGTGTGTGTGTGTGTGCAGGTCTACGGATAACTTACAAAAGTCTGTTCCTTTTACCATGTGGGTCCCAGGGTGAAAGTGAAGTCAGCAGACTTAGTGACAATTGCCTTTGCCCACTGAGACATCTCACCCACCCTACCCACTTCCTTGACAGCCTCTCCCCTCTGAGGGGATTAGCACTTTCTTCGCTCGACCTCTCTGTTTTCATTAGGCTGCCAGCCTACGGGGCTCCTGAGAAACTAGACAGTAACCGTGGGTAGTCATGTCCCAGCTGGGCAGTGCTTGAGAAAGCCTCTCACATGAGAAGAGAGTGGGCCACACTCCTCCCTGGTGTACCCTAGCCAGTAAGCACAGAGTTTGGGGAGAGCACCTCAGATGTGACAGGTGGAGGAGACTTGGGAACATGGGAACCATAGTGATAGCTGACTGAATGGATAATTGATCTGGAAACAGACACGAGCCATTTACCTCAGTGGGGCTGGCAGTGCATGTGAGACGTGATGTACCACCTGAAGTCTAGCCAGCCCTGCCCCATCCCCATCACCACTATGGTCCCTGTTCCAGCCTAGAGGAAGGCTGTCACTAGGCCCAGGGGCCCTGTGGATGCCTCTGAAGCTGACCAGCCAGCCAGAGATAGCTCTGGATGCTGACAATCCTGTCACAGCAGGCAAAAAGAGTGACGGTGACCCATGTACACCAAAGGAGACTACAGGGAAGAGCCTGTGTTCGTGTTAGTAAAGCACCAGAGACAAGAATTGGTGGAGGAAAATGAGACGGTGGTGGCTCCTCTGTATGTGGACCTGAAGCAAAGGAAACCAGGGGCTCCACGGGCTGTGGGTATCCTGGGACAGTGTGACCATTGGGCTAGAGAGGTATCCTGGGACAGGCTGAGGCTCACCCCAAACACATTAGTCTCTCCCCATCTCCCGCCCCCTCCTTTCCTTGGGAAACTCCTCTTCCATCTTCACCTTTGCCTGGGATGCCGCCTCAGCCCTGCCCTCCAGCTGAGGTATCATATACCCAGGCAGTTTCCAGGTTTCCCTCGAGGGACAGGACAGGGAAGGACACAGGTTGAAAGCATCCCCTGCTTGTCACCATACCAGAATTATTCACACCCAGAGGTGTGAGCTGGCATCTCACCTGCCCAGCCCAGGCAGGCACAGGCCTGACCCACCACCATCCCTGCCCATAGCCTGGGGGAATTGGGCCCATACCTGCCAGTAATGCAGAGATTCACTGCAATTCCTACCAATGACCTCTAGGATTTACCTGACATCTACCTATGACCCTGGAAGTCACCTCATGACTAACTTATGACCCTGATATTATCCCAGTCCTGCCAATGGTCTCTTCAGGAAATGCTGCTCTGCCATTCCTAGAGGAAGGATGCTGAACCAAGAGGAACTGGACAAGCTTCAGTTTCCAACCCTTATTTGTCCTGCTTCTGAGTGACGGGGCTGAGAGCAATGTGCACACAGGAGTGCCAAGAGTCTGGTGACACTATGTGGATGATGTTTGCACATATAGACATGTAGGGGCATCCTCTGGATGCCTGTGGAAACTGAAGCTCGTGGGCGTAGGAGGAACCACACACTGGGGAAATGTGTCCTGCTGTATCCAGTCTTTATTGCTTCAGATATAGCCTCACTATAGAGAGACCAGCCCAGTCACAGAAGCCACCAAAGGATACCCTTAAAGGTGGCTCCACCCTCGAGTGAGAGGCAAGAAAGATTCCTGTCCCTCCACCCCTGAAAATCCACAGACACCCCAGGGAGTGAGAGGCAGCCGAGGGCCAATGGGGGCCAGAAAACTAGAGCTTAGCTGATGGTCCCAGGGATCTTAATGATGTGGGAGTTAGGATGCTTCTGTGGGGTGAGGAGAGGGTCCCTGGAGAGCAGAGTACAGATGGGGTGCTTGTCTGCAGGTAACTATACATGGAGGGCACTAGAAGGGGGTCCTGAGAGAAGTCACTCTAGCCTAGGAGCAGAGAGAGGGCAAAAGTTCCAAATATAGCGGCTGAGATAATGAAATTGCAGGTTAGGGCCCCAGGAAGAGGAAGGAGCTAGCCAGGGATGCCAGGAACAGGAACAGGCCAGAGACTGAGGTCCCTGCAAGGCTCAGAGAGAAGCTCTTCACTTCTAGGGCTGAGTTCCACATCGTGTTCTCAATCCATGAGGTGTAGACGCTGACATTGGTGTACACACCTGGTCTCTTGGGCAGAGCACAGTCGGATCCCCAACTCACCACCCCTGCCTGGATCCAGACACCATTAATGTCACAGACCAGGGGACCTCCAGAATCACCCTGAGAAGAAAAAAGGGATCCAAAGTGTTGCTTGAGTCTGCAGCCTTTGTTATACAGGTAGGAAATCAAAACTCTCCATCCAATCCAGTCCCGCCTGACTATTCATCATAGTAGACAGGATCAATGAATTGGAAGTTTCTAGAAGGTTTCAGGAATGGGTGATCTGAGAACTGAAGGAGAGTAGAGCCCCTAGCAGCCACACCCTGTCTCTAAATAAAATATGAACTCTGTGCCACAGCTGGCTGTGTGTTCAGAGCTGAGAGCAGGGGCCACTTCAGAGCTTCTGACAGTGCTGCTTACTTCAGAGCTTCTGACAGTGCTGCTTACTTCAGAGCTTCTGACAGTGCTGCTTACTTCAGAGCTTCTGACAGTGCTGCTTACTTCGGTTTGTTTGGTTTTGTCTAGAACATCTCTTTGAAGTAACAATTAAGAGGTATTTGGCAGTCAGGGTGTGTAGAAGAGCAAACGAGACAGGATAAAACCAACCAAGCAAACTTAAATGTGGCTTGCTCCTCTTGAAAACACAGTCAAAGGCTCTTAGTGTTGCACTCTCTCTCTCTCTCTCTCTCTCTCTCTCTCTCTCTCTCTCTCTCTCTCTCTCTCTCTCTCTCGTACGTGTGTGTGTGTGTGTGTGTGTGTGTGTGTGTGTGTGTGTGTGTGTGTGTGTGTGTGTTGGTACTGTTGTTTTTAAGATGCCCAGCCCTCCTGGAAGGTTCTGATGTGATGGGGAGAAGAGCACCCTGCCCACTGGAGTTACTGGTGAGGTGTCACTGTCTGGATGTGACTCACTCACATTACAGGCATCCTTCTCGCCTTCCTTGAAGCCAGCGCACAGCATGTCTCCAAAAATGACGGGCTCCGTGCTGGAAATGGAGTTATCCTGGTAGTAGTCATTGCAGGTCTGAGCATCAATAAGAGGCACTTGCAACTCCTTCAGGGTAAAAGGTGGTGGGAGAGCTAGAGTTGGGAGAGAGTAGAGTTAGGGGAAGGGGACACTTCATCTCCTCCCAGTTCCGCATGTTTAACTGAGCCCCACAGCCAGGGTCATTTCTTCTGCTTCTCTGAACAGGACCTTGTTTCACCCCCCCATGAAACCCTGACAGCTTTGCAGAGGTGGCATCCCAGAATGAGGACGTAGATTCGTCCTCATGGTCACAAACTGGGGAGATCTTTGCTCTTCCTCCCCCAGCTGGGCACACAAGATGTATGATGGCTCTGTGGGTCTCAGCTTCTCTCCCAGTGTCAGGACAATGGGATGGGATGTGCGCGGGCAGAGGACACAGGACAATAAGCACGAGCCTGTAGCTGACTTCAGAACACTGGCCTGTGGTCAAGTCACACCCATCACGGGACCCTACTCTTCTTAACGTTCCAAATATCAAGTCGAAGGTGACTTAGATGCCCAGTGGGTTAAACAATGTGGTCCCAAATTCATGTCTACCCAAAACTTCAGAATGTAACTTTATCATCAAGCAGGAGACTTGCAGATGTGACTGGCTAAGATGGTGTCACAGTAGATCAAGATGAGAGGCTCTTAACAGACACAGAGAGGGGACCACACGACAATGGAGGGCTGTGTGAACCCTAAGGCCAAGACTGGAGTGACACAGCTAAGAACAAAGGATCACCCAGTGCTGGCAGAGGTGAAGGTCAAAAGCCTCCCTAGAGCCCTGAAAGGGTTGAGGCCCAGATAATACCTTCATTTCAGGGTTCTGGGCTCCTGAACTCTGATTTGTCATGAGTCTCAGAGCACTAAAACAAGGTGAGATCACAAATACAACGGCAGGGCTGGGGGCCATGCTGACGCAGCTGGAAACGGAAATGCCTGAGGCAGCATCGTGCCATGAGCCTCCGGCATTAACCCCACCAGGTTAGCTTTCTTGAGAGCTCACTGACAAGAGGAAGAACCAGGTCCCCATCAGATTGTGAAGGCTGTCCTGTCAAAACTGAGTCCCTGGCAAGCACTGTCCACAAAGGCCGTGGCAGCAAAGGCAGCAGGAAGGCTGTAATGCAGACTGAATCGGAATCCCTCAACCCATTGCTGACTGTAACACTATCCTTCTGGTTATTAGACTCCAAGAGGATGCCTGAGGGCCAGCAGCAGTCGGCTGGTGATGAGCTAGTGTGGCAATGTGTCAATGCACCCTCTGTGGTGGACATTCTTTGCATAGACTCCATATGGGTCCTGTCTGAGGGTTGGGGCTGACCACAGGGAAGGTATCAAGACTGGCCCTTGCTGAACACACATCTCCACTCTCCCCCTGCCCTGGCACCAGCTCCAAACATCCTTACGTTGATTTGTGGCAATGTATCCCCAGCCAGTGACCCAGCACTGGGTGCCAGGGCCCAGGGGGTCTCCAGGTCTCGGGAGGCAGACTGGAAGGATGTAGTCACCAAAGGAGACGGATGAAGCCAGCTGCACCAGGGCAATGTCTCCACTACTGTGCTCATTTTCTGAGTAGCTCGGGTGCTTGATAAACTGGGCCACAGTTCTCGGCTCATGGGGTTCACTGGACTCAGGGTAGGAGGAGATGGTACCCAGCAGTACTGTGTAGACAGACAAACTCTGGTCCCTGGGGAAAATGGGAAGGACAATGGGTGAAAAAGACAATCTTTATGGGGAGGCTCTACTATCCAATATTGCCACTGAGCTTTTCTGAGAGCTAAGCACCCCCTTTTAATGGCCATCATTAATGATCATTGTAACGCATAAGTTTTCTGTCATTTCTTCCATTTTTCAGGTATGGAACACAACTAGCAAAGTCATGTTACCCATCAAAAGGCCATCAGACTATTGAGCAGTACATTCAAAACCTTGGATTCTTTTTTTTTAACATTTATTTATTTATTATGTATACAACATGTCTGTATGCCCACAGGCCAGAAGAGGGCACCAGATCTCATTACAGATTGGTGAGATCCACCATGTGGTTGCTGGGAATTGAACTCAGGACCTCTGGAAGAGCAGGCAGTGCTCTTATCCTCTGAACCATCTCTCCAGCCCAAAAACCTTGGATTCTTGAGGTGCTGGGGAGATGGGTCAATGTGTAAGAATACTTGTGGTACAAGCATAAAGACTTGAATTTGGATCCCCACAACCCACATAAAAGTCAGGCCCAGCACTGTTCACACCTCAATCCCAGCCTGTCCCTGTAGAGAGGTAGAAGGTGAAGACAGGAGAATTAATAAATACTTCCTGACCAGGTGTACACAGCAGTGGACAAAAAGAGAGACCCTGCCTCAAAAACCAAGGTGAAAGGCAAGGAATGACACCTGAGGTTGTCCTTTGACCTTCACACACTCATTGTGGCATGTTTGTGCCCACACACACACACACACACACACACACACACACACACACACACACGAACAAATACTTCACTCATGTACATACACTTACACAAAGACCTTGGTTTCTTAAGGGCTGTTTTCAGGAGCTGTTGATTCTGTGTTTGTGTGTATGTTGGTGGGTGTGTCTGTGTGTGTGTCTGTGTGTGTATGTACGTTGGTGGCTGTGCCTGTGTGTTAGTGTGTGTCTGTGTGTTGGTGTATGTGTATGTCTGAGTGTTAGTCGGTGTGTCTGTGTGTTTGTGTGTGTGTCTGTGTGTTGGTAGGTGTGTCTGTGTATTGGTGGGTATATCTATATATTGGTGGGTGTGTCTGTGTGTATGTGTCTGTGTGTTGGTGGTATATCTGTATGTTGGTGGGTATGTCTCTGTGTGTGTCTGTGTGTTGATGGGTATGTCTCTGTGTGTGTGTCTGTGTGTTGGTGTGTCTGTGTGTGTGTTGGTGGGTGTGCACACTCCTGTGCATGTACAGAAAACAGAGAATGATATCAGATGCCCTGCTCTATCTCTGTTACTCTTGACCTTGAGATGGGAATTCTCGAAGAACCTAGAGCTACACTAGAGCTCAGCAATCCCCTGAGTTCCTCCTGTTTCCACATACACCCCCAGTACTGGTCACACCTAGCTTTTTACACGAATTGGGGCAGGTAATTTGAACTCAGGTCCTCATGCTTGTATAACAAGCCCTCCTACCCTCTGAGCCATCCTCTATACCCAAGACCAGGTGACTGACCCACCAGGGCCAGCCTAAAGCCAGGTAATTTTGATGCTAAAGAAACATGGCCCTGCCTTATCTCCTGTCATAGTAGGCAGAAGTTGTGGTTCAGATGGAGAAATGAGAGGAATGTAGAGAAGTTCAGCCGGCCCCGCCCACATGACCCTTAGGGAGACACTCACTGGCTGAAGCAGTGGGCAGCTGTCAACACCCACTTCTCAGCAATCAGGGAGCCCCCACACACGTGCTCCCCATTCTCCCTCACGCTGACCTGCCAAGGCCACTGGCCTGGCTGGGCATCCTCTCCCGACACGATGCGGCCTGAGGCCCTGGGACGTCCACACACTGCAAGGAATCAGTAGAATTGAGTGACACAGGGCTACTCTGCCCTCCTGTATACCTCAAACCTGCCTTATTTGTCACAGCCCCTGGGACTTGACCAGTAGGGGCCAGAGGATGTACCCCGTGCCTGGCCCCTAACAGCCTCTGCCTCATATAAGACCTCGAGAAGCCAGGGTCAGACACCTCTCTGGTCGGCCTCTAAACTATGCTCCTGCTGTCTCCTTCCTGTATGCCCAGGACTTGAATGCTGAGGCAGGAGGATCAAAATCAGAAGGCTAATTTTGTCCACATAATAAAGTGGAGGCCAGTCTGGCCTACAATGAGATCTGGTCTCAAAGCTAAAAGAAACAGAATAAAACTAAAAAATAAAATAAAAACAAAAACAAACAAACGAAAAACCCACCTGGCAACAAAACGTACACTCCACGTGTCTTCCTGAAGCTACTGTCCCCACCCACCCATCTTACCTGAATCCAGGTTAGTGTGACTACTGTCTATCGTAGGAGACACGCTATAGGAATCGGTTATGAGGTTCTCGCTTCCCAGAAGGGCTCCAGGAAAAAGAATAAACAGGATGGCAGGCAGGGCCAGCTCCATGATACACCTGCTGGGGGCCAGAGGTTTCCAGGCACTCCAGGAAGAAGGAAGGTGACTGTAGCTCTTGTGCGGATTTCTGGGCTCGCCCTGGGTGGGGCTCACCCTCCACACCTGCCCTGAAGCCTTGAGAGAGGCGTAACACTGCCACTGTTCCTGAGCACAGAGACCCTGGCCTCCACACATGCTGCATGCTCTGAGGTCCTATGGTCTTTCCCATCCTGATCCAGGAACCACAGCATCTACAGATCTTCTGTTGATGCAGGACCAGAGCACAGTGTGCCTGGCACGGCACCAACCACAGGGCGCACCCCCAGGCTCCCCAGGAGCTGCTCTGATCACACCCTCAGCACTGGAACTGAGACTCTGGGTGCGGTCAAGGCCCACAGGGGCAAAGCCGGGGAATCCCACCTTCAGCTCTTGTTGCAGGGTCCAAGGCCCCAGCAGATGGAAGGGAACGGGTGGACCTGAGCTGATTCCCAGGGTCTACTAGAAAATGTCCTCCTCATTCTGCCCCATCAGCCATTCATGTTCCCCCCAGAGTCCAGAAGTCACCAGGAAAGGCTAAAATGTCCTTGCCATGAGAACACATAGAGCAGGTGCCTTCATGTCCATCACTGCCCACTAGAGGGCAGACATGCTGGCCCTTTGGCTCCAGGGGACTTGGTTAGAAATTGTGTAGGCAGAAGGGCTTGCCAGCCTGGAGCAGGAGGCACTGAGACATCTTTTGGACTCCTGTGTTATTTGTCTTCTCCACTTCTCCAGAAGTTTCTATTCTGTTGGCTACCCTCCACTCAGTCTCTAAGAAATGCCTTCCAAGAAGGCGTTACCCATGGAAAGGCTCAGTGGCCTTCCAAACATCCCAAATGTCGCACTGAAAAAAAAAATCATGCACGGTGATTACATCACAGCTGCAGTATGGCTTTAATCAGGGTAAAGTAACCTTATGCTTCAGACTTAAGAACACTAGTATTGGATCCAATATTACATTTCTGCAACCACTTTCATCCTGTGTGCAATCTGTTCACCAATGCATTTGGAATTTAAAAAGAAAAGGGAAACAAGAACTTAGGATATCATTCAGTTGGTAGAATGCCTGCCTAGCATGCATGAAGCTGCTTTTGATCACATAAACCACGTGTGGAGCATAGCACACACCTGCAATTCCAGTACTCGGTGGGTGGAGACCAGTGAGTCATCACTCAGAGTCATCCTAGGCCTCCAGGCTGAGCTTGATGCTGCGGTGGTCTGAGTGAGAGTGGCCCCCATAGGCTCACACATCTGAATGCTTGGTCTCCAGCTGGAGGATAAGAATTAGGAGGTGTGGCCTTGTCAGAGGAGATGTGTCACTGGGGGTCCATAGTAACACTCTCAGATGCTGTTCCGGTACCATGCCTGTCTACCTGCCACCATGATGAGAATGTACAAATCCTCTGAAACTGTAAGACCCCGGCTAAACATTTTCTACATTGGATAGTTCCATGTCAACTCAACACAGGCTAGAGTCATCAGAGAAAAGACTCTCAATCAAGAAAATGTCTCCTAAGATCAGACCACAGGCAAGCCTGTAGGGCATTTTCACAATTAGTGATTCCTGGGAGAGAAGCCAGCTCACGGTGGGTGGGGCCACCCCTGGGCTGGTGGACTTGGGTTCTATAATAAAGCAGGCCAAGCAAGCCCTAGGGAGCAGGCCAGTAAGCAGCCCACTCCATGGCCTCTGTGCCAGCTCCTGCCTCCAGGTTCCTGCCCTGTTTGAGTTCCTGTCCTGACTTCCTTCACTGATAAACAGTGATATAAAAGTACAAGCTGAATAAATCCTTTCCTGAATTACTTTTGGTCATGGTATTTCATCACAGCAATAATAGCCCTGACTAAGACACTTTCATTTTTAGAGCTGCCTTGGTCATGGTCTCTTCACAGCAATAGAACAGTAACTAAGACAGAGGCCAACCTGGGCTACAGGGGACCCTGAGAAAGACAGCGAGGACAATGGGGAAGGAGGGAAGAATGAAGGAAGGATTGATTTATGAGAGAATTAAAAAAATGATAATCTCTTTACCCATGTGCACTCACTGGATGATATACAGAAATCTTGTTAGAATCCTGCAAGATAGTAAATACATTCATCAACCATGTGATAGACTCTTGTGTTTGCAAAAGAGACTGAGCCGGGTGTTGGTGGCGCACACCTTTAATCCCAGCACTCGGGAGGCAGAGGCAGGTGGATCTCTGTGAGTTCGAGGCCAGCCTGGTCTACAAAGCGAGTTCCAGGACAGCCTCCAAAGCCACAGAGAAACCCTGTCACGGAAAAAAAAAAAAAGCAAAAGAGACTGAAGTCTCATGATTCACAACCAGTCTTGAGAATAAAGGGCATGTAAGATCTTAGGAGTTTTTCTAGAAACGGTGCTGGAGCTGAGCACGGTGGTGCACCTAAGAGAGGCGAGGCGGCGCGTCACACGTTGAAGACCCGACCAGGCGGTGGACTGAGACCCATTTTTTTGTTTGTTTGTTTGTTTGTTTTTTGAGACAGGGTTTCTCTGTGGCTTTGGAGGCTGTTCTGGAACTCGCTTGGTAGTCCAGGCTGGTCTCGAACGCACAGAGATCCGCCTGCCTCTGCCTCCCGAGTGCTGGGATTAAAGGCATGCGCCACCAACACCCAGCAAGACCCTTCTTAATAAAAGGGAAAGGGAGAACTGAAGACGTAGCCTGGTGGTAGAGCATTTGCCCAGCTTCGAGAGGCCCTGGATTCACCCACCGTCACTGCCACTGTAACATAGCCGTTTCCTCTGAATTCAAACAGTCCCTCCTAGAGAAAGGAGGGAGGAATATAGTAGCCAGAAAACTAGAAAACTCAGAGAGCTGGGAAAACAGCTCAGTCCGTTAGGTGCTTGCACAAGCCTGAAGACCTGAGTCTGAGTACTAGCATGTGTATAAAAAGTCAGGTATGGTGTCGTTCACTTATAATCTTTTTTTTTTTTTTTTTTTTTTTTTTTTTGGTTTTTCGAGACAGGGTTTCCCTGTGGCTTTGGAGGCTGTCCTGGAACTCGCTTGGTAGTCCAGGCTGGTCTCGAACTCATAGAGATCCGCCTGCCTCTGCCTCCCGAGTGCTGGGATTAAAGGCGTGGGCCACCAACGCCCGGCTCACTTATAATCTTAATGCTGGGGAGGTGGAGACAGACTTCAAGAGCTTGTAGGCCAGGCTCATGAGCAAGCCCCAGGCTCCACTGAGAAATTCTGTCTCAAAACAAACAAGCCAGGGTAGAGAGCTGGAGAGACAGCTCAGCAATTAAGAGCACTTGGTGCCATTGCAGGGGCCCAAGCTTGGATTCTTAGTACCCAGATAACAGCTCACAGTCATCTGTGACTTTAGTTCCAGAGGATCTAGTGCCCTCTTCTGGCCTTCATGGGCACTGCCTGCATGTGGTGCCCTTAGATTCATGCAGGCAAAACACTCAAGCATATAAAATAAATTAATGAATCTTGCCGGGCGGTGGTGGAGCACACCTTTAATCCCAGCACGTGGGAGGCAGAGGCAGGTGGATCTCTGTGAGTTCAAGACCAGCCTGGTCTACAAGAGCTACGCTACTAGGCCAGCCTCCAAAGCCACAGAGAAACCCTGTCTTGAAAAACAAAAATTAATTAGGTCAGGAGTGGGTGGCACATACCTTTAATCCCAGAACTTGGGAGCAGAGGCAGGCCATTCTCTGAGTTCAAGGCCAACCTGGCCTAGATAGTGAGTTCTGGGGCCATGTAGAGAGACTCTGCCTCAAAAGTAAATAAGCCACAGAAAAACCCTGTCTTGAAACCCACCCCCCAAAAAAATTAATGACTCTTGAAAGAAAGAAAGAAGAGCGGAAGGGAGGAAAGAAAGAAGGGAATAAACAAGGTAGATTGCTCCTGAGAAATGACCCCTGAGGTTGACTTCTGGACTCAGCACGCACCTGGTCACACACACACATGGGGTGGGGTGGGGGTGGGGAGGGCTCACACCTGGTCACACACAGTCACACACATGGGGTGGGGTGGGGGTGGGGAGGGCTCAGAGAGTTGAAGGTAAGATCCATAAAGCCCCTCCCTCAGGTTATAAAGGCAGTTTTAACGATTGCTGAGGGAGGAAAGTATGTAGCTGGCAGGGCTGCTTGTAGGTTGAGTCATCCATATCTAGGGTGTACTTTGGAGATTCTGCTGCCTTTGAGTGATCCATGTTCTAACATATAGTCCCAGTAAAGTCACTAGTTCACGAAACTACACTGGGGCTGATTCTTTTCTTTGGTCTGTCGTTGGTGTCCTGTCTTGGATGAATAGACATCTGCTATTTTCTCTCCCAGGAAAAGTCATACAATATTCTCCAAGAAAGGGGATGGGAAGGGAAGGCCAGGGAAAGGGAAGGAAGAATAGGGGAGGGAGGGGAGAGAAGGGGAAGAGAGGGGAGGGGGAACAGTGGGGGAGAACAAGGATGGGGAGGGAAATAAAGGGGGCAACAGGGAAAGGAAGGGAAGAGTTGTGATTAGGAAAAAACAACTGTGTTGGAAAATTCCTCCAAGACCGGAGTCCATGCCTACCCTGTTAATCTCTGGTCCTTAGGTCTCACACCCATCCACAGCCTTTTCTGTCTCCAGGTACCTGGCTACCTGCTGATTGCGGCACTGGTAAACCTCCCTGGGGTCTCACCAGATGGCAAAGAGCTGCAGATCTCTCCTTTCCAGCCATGTCCATCATGTTACTGTGGGAAAAATCAACACAGAGATGGACTTATTCCTCTTCACACCTCACCACCCCGGTCACTTCCCCTGACACAGACGGAATTCATCAACCCACTTCCAAAAGGCCCCTTTTAGGAGATGGGGATTCTAGACCCTGTCACCTATTCAGGTTTCTCAAACCCTTTATATTACTTTAGCACTCTTTTTCCTAAAGTTCATTCACTTTTATGCATGAGTGTTTTATGTATGTATAAGCACTGTCTCTGTGCCTGGTGCCTATGGAGGCCAGAAGACGGTGCCAGATGCTCTGTAACTAGAGGTACAGAGGGTTGTGAGCTCCCTGCCCAATACTGAAA